ACAAGCAATTCAGACCAGAACAAAGAAGGTTTTGAAGACTTACTTCTCTCCGTTCCAGGCAATCAGCTTTAACAGTAATGGGAAAAATGCAAAATTCATCAGAGAGATTAGAAGACAACTGGCCAGATCCATGTGTTCATTACTAGCTCTAACAACCAAACAAATAAGATGAACAGAAATGCTTCACCATAACATCGTAAAAAAATTTTAGTAATCACATTAGCCATAAAATCGGTCTCAATACCAAGATAATACTATCAAGTAATTATATTAGCTATGAAATCAATCTCAAGGTATAAGTACCTGAGGGAGTAAGGTAGGAAAGGAACTTAGAAGCTTCCTCTTGTTTGTGTTAAGAAACGCAAGTATTGCTTCAGCAACACCAGGGTCTGCAAACTCACTGCAGTAAACATTAGCATCGATTTGATTTACACAACTTTTTGACTTCCTATCAACTAATCATATGGAACAGTGGATGATAAAGAAAAAACAAAGATGAGAAACAAAAGATAAGTTAGCAGCCAAAAGCAGTGGAGGGCTATGAAGCCAAAAGGATGCATACGTGAAATCAAAAGTTAAAAATGCCATTCAAACACATAAAAAGAAGAAACCGTGTTGCCTCATTTTGTGCTAAGCTAAAGGATCTTTTGACTATCCCCATCTCCACCAAACCCCCTCCCCCAAGTAATTCTGGCATCCACATGAGTCCATCAAAAGAAGCTCTTTTGACACATTACCAACTCCCCTCTTAACATATCATGTACAGACATAAAAGCATCAACATCTCAATCAGGGTTTTCGCTCAACCACAAACAAACAAAAAAAAAAAGCCCGTCCTTACCGGCTTAAGCATGAGCGGAAAAATATCCTCAGACTAGGATCAGCGTCATGTAGAACTATATCTCCATGATCAAGGAAAAATTGGAGAATGGCCTGGAATGGAATATGGTTAATTGTAGGAAGTGAAAGTGACATGTCCGCATTAGAATATGAAAACACAAATATTGAAGGAAAACTTAATGGAACAAATACAACTCCAATTCACCCTGAGGAGAAAAGATTCGCTATTTTTGTTTTTGAAAGGAAAAATAGTAAATCGTTGAGAATTTAAAATTCACAGACAATATGACAAACTAGCTAATTCTCATCAGACTCATTATAGTGGACTGATGCATCATTCTTTTGTGCCTCTGAATTACTCACAGTCAATAATTTAAGGTCAGAAAAATGACAAACTTGGCTCCAAAGCAAACTTGTGGAAAATTAAGCAGCACAGAAATCATGAAAAAGAGAAGTTTGAAAATTTAAAACGACAAGGTTACTAATAATTAAATACCAGTAGGAGAATGGCGATGGAGGATCGAGACTGAGAAATGGAAGCCACGGAACGCTGAAAATCTTATTGAAATGCGGATAAACCCTAGCTATTAAGTCCTCCGACTTCTCATTTTTACACAGTTCGCATAGCCTTTTCACCTGTAAACCAACCCCACTAACACAAAATTAAAAAAAAAAATTTTGAAGTTCCGAAAATTACAAAATACCAAAATAGAGATAAATTCCAAAGATGAAAAAAAAGGAAAATATCTTACGCAGTTGAGCAGAGAAGGATCGGAGACGGGGTCATTAGCGAAGTTGGAATCTCTGGCAATGGTAGATAATGATCTCAGCTGAATTTCCCATTCTCTATCACTCATTTTATGCTTATTTTTCACTATTTTCTCTTCAATTTCTTTAACGAAAATCGATTTCCTTAAACAATCAACTTTTCTTCTTCTGCTGCTTCTTCTTATTCTTCTTCTTCAGTCGTCCTGTGGTGAGCTGATGCGCCTTGTTGGGTTTCACCTGCTATATTTTTTTTTTTCCTTTTTTTTTTCTTCCATGTTCACTGCAGAATTCAGGATAATGTCTGTTGGCTGGTTGCATTTTTTCGGACCCAACTTTTGGACTACAGGCTAAATTTAAATTTTGGGCTACTTGCAGTTTTCAGCCCCACATATTATGCAAGATATTTGGTCATGCCTTTTAGCAAATTTTTTTTTCTTTTCTTAGCAAAACTCTTAATGTTTATTTCCTAGTTTTAATTGCATGGAGAGAAGAATAGCGTGCGAGAACATGCAGAGTTCATCATTGTAATGTGAAATACTCTAACACGCAGAGTTGATCATACTAAGTAATGAGAAATACTCTTTCTTTTCTTTTTTTTTCTTTTTAGCTTAGATTAAGCTCCTAAATTATTCTGAGTTTTTACCCTCCCCACAATCTTCCTACTACCACCAACTGACCATATGCACACTTCGATCATTGATGTGACGTTAAAGATTTGATGACCTTCGTTGGTGTTGTAGATGACAATTCTTCTAATCAAATTTGGGAATGTTGGAAACTAAAATCCCATCAGGTTTGGAAGAAGAAACCTGTGTGGTTTTAGACGTATAGTTTGGCTTACATAAATCCTCTCAATTTCTGTTTGGACAAGGGAGTTTCAAGCCTATTCTGGGAGAACCCCGAATTGTATGTCGAGTTTACGGCTTTTTAAGCGGATGCAATTGAAGCAAAGTCTAACAATGAGGAGGGTACTATCCAGAATTCGTTCCTGATAAAGATCAAACAGTAAAATACTCTAAATGTCATCAAGAAAAACCCACATCAGAAAATTTTGTTGGAGTGCGAAGATGCTACATATGTAGCAGACTTGGTTTTCCACGGTCTGGAGTCCGTTAACGAAGCTGCAAAAAAGTTGTTGGAAGAAGCTGAAAATCCGAATGAAGAAATTGGATTTAAGGCAAAATATGGCCACATTTTGGAGTAATGCCAAAGAGGTCCAATTTCCTGGATTTATACTTTCAGAAGACCAACTTGGCCACCATTCTCTTCTGCTACTTCAAGGATGCCTTAACTACTAAGCTCCAAAATATGGCATTACTCTTTTGCTACTAAGCATTACTCTATCAGCTTGAAGAATTGGGACCCTCGTAACATATACTATCAGTAAATTCAACAAAGATGTCTCTTTTGCTTTGCTTTTCACAGTGATATCAACACTACGCCTTTCGCGTATAGTCTCTCAGTACCATTTGACATAAGTAAGCTCTTTGTTGTAGTGTGCATTTATTGAATGGGTCCTTGCAAACTACTCTTGTATTTGCAGTCTTGCTGGGGAGCTGCACGATGTTGACCACATTCAAGAAGAAAAGAAAAAGAAATTGTTGTGTGGCCATTATAAGAAAATCAGGTACTGGCAAATATCAGTCAAATGTCCATACGTCTTGCAGAACACGCACAAGATGAACAAATACTGGGTCCTCAAATTCATGTAGACAGAGACCTCTCTCTTCCCTCTATCTTTAAAAAAGAAACATCTTCACTTTCATTTCTGGGAAAAGTCAAGTAAATTTTCTCCCGTTGATTGAGTGTAGAATTTGCATATATGGCAGAAGTCTCCCAATGTCCTCTATTTGCTGATTAAAAGAGTTAAAGATTATATACTTCTGCTACTAATCAAGACTGCCATATTTTGGAGCTTAGTATAAATCAAGACCGCCCAAGAATGGTGGCCAAGTTGGTCTTCTGAAAGGGGTCTATCCTCTTTCTCTCCTGCTTGCACTAACTTAATCAGGTAAGTTGTCTGACGAAATCGACAGAATTGCATGGTTTTGATTTCTTCCAAATCTCTTCCGGTCGTTTTTTATGTCTTTCAACTTTGAGTTGATTTTTCATTTTCAATTATGGCTAGCTTTAGTTTATTTTGGGCATATTCGTGCACTTCGCAAGCTTTGGAGTAGACGTAAATTATTCTTGATTCTTATTCTATTCTATGTTGCCATTAAAAATGGTTAGAGATGACATATGAAGAAGAGAAAAGGTCTTAAGAGAATCCGTAATTGCAGAATATCCAATTCTTGTGAGGTAGTATCTGTTAAAAGTTAAAACTGATAGCTTGATGTTTGGGACCGATGCAGAGCTAGGATTGGATATTCAACCTTTACTAGGTGAATATTTGTTTGCCCAATGAAGGTTAATTTGTTGAGCAATCACACTTAAAAGAATGTATATTTATTGTCTGACAAATGGCTATGCTTATCTTTATGTAGATTGCATGAGATGATTGTGGTTACAATTGTTAAGGCCTTGGTCCACCAATTTGTTGACTGATTCTTTTGTTTTATCCACAATATCACTAGGTTCTTTATAGTGTGGGATTGCAATGTACTGTCACTGGAGTCATGGACTCGAATTTGCCGGAGACATCTTCAAAGAATCGAAAGATCTTTGAAGGAGAAGAAATCAGTAACGAAGCACAAGATGGAATAAGCCAATTACCTGATAACATTCTGTGTCACATACTCTCCCTTCTTCCGACTAAATTTGCAGCACAAACCGGGATTTTATCTAAACGATGGAAGGAACTTTGGCTTTCAGTACCTGTTATTGAATTTCAGATGCATCTATGGGCAAATTATGAGGGTAACATGAAAGCTTTTGATAGGTTTGCAAAGACTAAAATTGAGAGCTTCACAAATTTTCTGAATCGACTTTTGGCTGTTCGTGACACTTCAGGCATTAAAAAGTTCAGATTGGTATGTGATCACGCGGTTGACTCTAGATGCCTCGACAATTGGTTGTCTGCTTTGCATAATGTTCAAGAACTTGATCTTCAAATATGGGTGCTCGGGGAGTTCCAGTGGAGTCCCTTTCCAGATAACTCGCTGGAAATCTTGAAACTGGGTTGTGGTCTTTTGCTCAACTTCCGTCTACTGTTTCTTTTCCACATCTTAAGATTCTTCATCTTCATTCAACCACATATGCGGGCAATGCATCAGTTGAAAAGTTACTTTCTTCTTGCCCTGTCCTTGAGGATTTGCAGATATCCAGGACGAATCAGGATAACGTTACGAATTTTGTGATCGCAGTACCTTCGCTGAAAAGGTTGGCTTTGGATTTTTCTACCAATGAGGGGAATTATACAACGAAGATGATTATGAAAATGCTGTTGAGCACAAACTGATAATTACTGCACCAAATTTGGAGTACCTAAGCCTAGTTGATTATATGTCGGATTCAATTCAGGTTAGTTCCATGGCCAGTGTAACCGAATCACGCATTGCTGTTTGCAAAATATTAGAGATTGATAGTCGGACAGCAGAACAAATAAGTAACTATGGAAGCAATGTATGCGGAATATTTCGAAGTATCCCGAATGTGAAGCGTTTATCAATAGGCGAATTTACCATGGAAGTAAGCCTCGGCTTAAAATTTCAATCCTGCTTATTGCTTTCTAGTGATTACACCATTAATTGCTTTCTTGGTCAGAACTTATGGCTGTCTTCATAAATTTGCAGTCTACGAGTGAATCTCTCGATAGAAGGCTGCCGGTTTCCAGAGCTTGGTCCACCTGGAGATCAATTTGGATGGGGTGAATGGCGCTATGCTACTGCCAGAATTGCTCGAAATCTCTCCTAAACTAGAAAGCCTCAGCTTGCCTCAGGTACTTTTGATGAGTGCTCCTAGTTCTGTTACCAAAAGTGGTTTCTCACTTTTATTTCTTCCAACGCCAGGGGATTACCAGTCCAGGTCTAATGGGGTTTAACCCCCAGGAGAATCAAGGTATAAGCTACAGTTGGAAGCCTCCACAAAATGTGCCTGAATGCTTGCTATTTAGCCTGAAGAACGTGGAAATTCGGCGAATTACTGGTAGAGTAGAGGAAGAAGTGAAGCTGTTAAAATATTTTTTGGAAAATGCATTGGTTCTAGAGAAGATAACGATTTGTTATGAAGAATTTGAGGTTTCCGGCGGACCGATGGATACTACTAATTATCCAGCTGCTCGTCGGCTTGATGATCGCGTATCCTTCATAGACAAATTGATGAACTGCGCTAAGGGATCTGCTGCTTGTCAGCTTGACGTCCAAATGCCTGAACTATCACTCTGAACCCTCAGCAGAATGTTGGTATTGCACCCTACACGCCTGCGCATGTTTCTTCACATCTGCTGGTAAAGAAGTGCTTCAAGTGCACTATTTTTATCAAATATGTTTGGGTTACTTTTACCCTCTTGTTATTTAGCATTTTACCACATGACACTTTTATGATTTCAAAATCGCACGTATAATACTCTCGTGGTTAGGAGTGAAGTGTCAAATTGATAAAAATCGGCCTATGCTATGAAGTAGCTGAAATATATAAGATTATCCTCATTTAGAAACTTCAAAAAAAAAAAAAAATTGGAGTAGCTAAGATTCTTACACATAATATTCCTACGGTGTCAAATTGATAAAAATCGTCCTATGTAAATATGGAGGTAATTAAGATTACCCTTATTTAGGAACTGAAGCAATTGAAGTAGCAAAGATTCTTAGACATGCTATTCCTATTCAAAATTTATAACTAACTTTCCTGTGGTTAACAAATAATTTCTATCGTGATATTGGGTTACTTTTAACATTTTCCATCGGCTCCATTAAGGATTTTACGGAGGGCAACTTCCATCTCTTAAACACTTTATTTCAAATCATGAGAATGTTACGTGTAGTTTTTGAAAACATGAAAAGTTTTATAAAGAAAGGTGCTAAACTACAAGACGCTAGACAGTAATTTACCCGTTATGTCTTGCCAATTTGTAAAATTCGGTGGTGGCATCTGAGATTGATTGGTTAAGCTTTAGGTGTGTTTCACAAATGGGTCCGAGCCGAGGGGTGGTGGGAATAAATTCACAGTCAATAATGATTCCGATTATAGTTTGGCAGACCTTTATGGGGATCATTCGATGGGTTTAACTTTTAAGAGAATGAAACACATTCCATATCCAAAGCAAACAAGTAAAGGGAATCAACCAAAGCCCATCTTCAAAATTCAAATTCCAATCTCAATTTCGATTCCGGAATTTTGGGGGAAACAAAATTTCTTCGTTATCACTTTCTACGAAGTCGCATAATGTGGGGTGAACTTTTGCCAGCTTTACTTACTGGCTAACAACTGGTCTGTCATTCTTCAAAGATCAACAAATTTTCCATTCACTAGTGCAGCAATGGCATGTTCCCGTTCATTTACATCAAACTTGGAACTTGAAATGTGTGATTTCTCGTGCCTCAAGGGAAATTAGTTTGGTGTTTGTTTGGATAGAGTATTATTTGAAATATGGATTTGTTTGGATAGGGTATTATTTGAAATATTATTTGAAATAATTACTGTAGCACTTTTTATGATGTGATATATGTGAGATAAAAAGGTGGTTGGAAATATAAAAAGGTAGGTTGGGAAATGTGTTTGTGATGCAAGCAAAATATTATTTGAAATAATTGAGGTATCCAAACACTCCATTATTTGTAATAATTACTATAGCACTTTTTGTGATGTGATATGTGTGAGATAAAAATATAATTAAAAATATAAAAAAGTGAGTTGGAAAATGTATTTATAATGCAAGCGAAATATTATTTGAGATATTTGTGCTATCCAAACACTCAGACAGACAGGTTTCTTCTTCATTGGGATTTAGGATTTCTAAACGTCAGATTGATTTTTTTTTTTTAATTTCCAAACCTTTTTGCTATTAATTTAATTGGCAAGCTTTTCTTTAATTCCTATTACTCTTAGGCCTTGTTTGGGATTATAGTGCTTTTGGTGAAAAAATAGTTTTAGGTGTTAAAAGCACACTTCAGGCATTTGGAGAATATCATCCATAAAATTAGGAATGAAACTTTTGGTGAAAGGCTCTTTTAGTAAAAACTCAAATTTGATGCTTTTAGTGTAGTTTTGTGATTTAAAAACTAAAATATTAAATTTAATCATTTTATTCTATATTATAAACTAAATAAAGAGATAAATACATTTAAAAATTTTCAAATCACATATTATCCAATACAATAAACACTTATTGAATTATGTCTCCAAATAGCATATTTAAAACCATTTAAACACTTAATAAGTACTTTTATTGAAAACTTTATTGAGAAGTACTTTTCAATAAGTTATTACAACCTCAAACGATCCTTTGATATGCATTGCATTAGGTATGTGATGTCTAAATAGGTCTTTGTCTCTGCGATATTAAAATGGTGATTTTTTTCAGTAATATGCAAGGTAGAATTTGCATCTGTTTGAAAATCAAGGAAAAAAATTACGAATGTAATATTAAGGGACTAATTATTTGTGGTTTTGCCCCAAAAAACAAAAAAAAAAAAAAATCCATCCACATTGCTTTGTCCTTATTACCAACAAACGAAAACATTACTTGGTCCTTTAACCTACTAATTCGGATATCCAAACAAGGATCGAATCCGGATCCGACCTTTGCTACAAGACGTCTCCAATTTTGCTGCCGTTAAGCACAAAAACCAAAAAGGGGAAAGAACCTCCTATATTATTTAGAGCAATTCTCTGCTTCACTTTTACAGGAAAGAGGAGCAATTGGGTTAGCACAAAAACGTAGAAAAGGCACTGTTTTCCGGGTAGTACAGTGGCATACAAGCCCAAAACAGGTTAGTTTACGTGCTTATTTGTAACAGCATTGCATGAGATCTGTGAACTATTTTATGTTGATTCCATGTAGTAGTGAAGTCAGCATTAAGTTCAGTAGACTTGTTTTGTTACTGCCAAAACTGTTTGATTGCATCAAGCAACCACTTTTAGAAAGATTACGTATAAATATTTTACCTAGAAACAGCATTTTTTTTTGTCCACTAAAGTGCAGTTGCTGTATAAAAATGTGCCCTGGGGTTCTTCGTGGCTAAAAGTTGTGGCTTTTTTAGTGTTGATAGAGGGATTTCTTCCCCTGGCTATGTGATCAGATAAAGTCTTGAAAACCTGATGATACTCATTGTATAACTAGTACAGAATGAGCAAATCAACGGGGTTTTTAGAGTGCAGGAAGTAGCAGATTTCTGTTTGTTAATTTTTTGTAGGTTTTTAGGAGGAAAAATTTTGAAGATTTTACGTTTATTGCAGTCATTTTTCTTACATTATTGGCGTAGAAAAGGTTAATTTTGACTATTGTGGTTCATTAGGAGACAGAGGTACAAGATGAAACATTCTGAACTTGTAAGTAAAATTGGTGGCAAGATCCAGTATGATTTTCAAAGCCAGAATTTCGTTTTGAACAATATTAAACAGTTATAAAGGTACAATCAGAAAGTAGTGTGATAAAGGTCCCTGGGCAGATGTAGCATGTTTTACCAGTTGGCAAGGTTTTTAAGTGTAAAGAATAAGAAACTCAATGCAGGTGGAAGTTAAAAGAAAGGAGAAAACTGAGGCCAAGCTCATCCTTTTGCTTCTAGATCAGTTATGTTTTAAGTCGACTTTTGGAACTGCAGATAGCAAAAACACCTTTCCTGATTCATCCATACAACATAATTAGTAGGACTAGTTCAGTTATTTTGACCGATATAGGTTGCTGCATTTGTAACTGGCTGTTTGATCTTTGAGTTTCCTTTATTGTTTACATGTGAAGTAATGAAAAATGTTGAATGTAAACTTGGACCAGTAGGACATTTCAGTAGTTGTTTAAGTTGTATATCTTATATCTGTATCTGGTTGTCTGTCTCCCTGTATCATTGTTTTTTCTCTGGTTCATAATGTTATTTGGCTTCCCAACAGGTTCTTTTGTGTACCACAATGGCTCCAGTTACAAATTCTGCCAGTATTGCAACTTCCAGTTCAAAACGTAAAAATATCTTGAGGCAGGCAAAACTGTAGAATCTGAGGACCGGATCAGTTACTTACCACCCGAAGTTCTGTGCCGCATACTCTCATTGCTTCCAACTAAGTATGCTGTTGGCACCAGCGTCTTGTCAACAAGATGGAAGTACCTTTGGGTTTCAGTCTCAAGCTATGACTTTGATGATGAATTGTTGTTCCTTCCTGCCAAGCATTCTGGCGAGGATAAGTGTCACTTCTTGAACTTTGTTGATAGAGTTTTGATTCTTCAAAAGGCTCCATCTGTGAAAAAATTTCGCCTCAAGTGCTCTCAAGAATATGACACTTCGCGCATTAATATGTGGATCTCCTTTGCAATTATGCATGATGTGGAAGAGCTCGATATCAGAGTTCTTATGAAAGACTCCCTGGCACTGCCTCGAAGCTTTTTTGATTGCAAAACGCTTGTTGTCTTAAAGCTAAGCTCTAACCTCAACATTGGTTCTTCTCTGCCAATTTGCTTCCCAAACTTGAAGACCCTTGACCTCTGTTCTCTTGATTGCCTAGATGACAGCTTGATGAAGAAAATTATTGCTGGTTGCCCTATTCTTGAAGAATTGAGGATCAAAAGAAGTGCCCTTGACAAGATACAGAATCTTTGTGTACAATCATCTTCTTTGAGAAGACTAATGTTGTACTGTTGCATAGCTTGTCCAAAAGATCACAAATACAGTGTTGTGATTGAATCACCATGCCTTCAGTTCCTTGATCTTGGAGATTATATATCTGAAGACTTCAATGTCAATGAACTATCTCAACTTTCTGAAGCACGCCTTAGTGTGGCTCAGATATACAAGCAATCCATTCCAAGTGACGACTATGGTGAGAATTTGATTGGAAACTTGCTATGTAAAATCTCCAACGTCAGGCGTCTGAAGTTGTCTCATCACATTAACAAGGTTGGTTGCTTTGGTAATCTTTCTCTTTCATTATCTCAGAGTTCTATGTGTTCAGTTTCTTAATGTCTAAATTCTTCTTTTCCTCTCAGTCTGTTGCCTGTGCCCTTGAAGCTGGTAGTTGCCTGTGTACATATCCTAACTTGACCTGTTTGGAAGTGGAACTTGAAGGAAGCTGGCAGTTTGTGTTTGATTTGCTTGAAAGTTCTCCTAATTTAGAAGTTCTTGTCTGTACTAAGGTAAGCTTTGGTGTTTTTGATAACTCTAAAACTGATAGCCTTGTTTTTTTTTTTTTTTTGGATCCCGAGGTTCACATTGAATTATCAATGTACCAGGTAAGGAGGTGCACTCAAATTGGAAAAGGTCCTCAAGTTCCACACTGCTGCATATGGAAGCCTCCAGATTCTATCCCCAGCTGTATCTCCTCACGCCTTGGAAAAATTCGACTTGCTGGATTTGATGGGTGCCAAGTTGAGATGAGACTCGTCCAATACATTTTGAAGAGCGCAAAGTTTCTGCAGGAATTGAAAATTACTTCTCACAAACTAGATCTAAAGTTGCAGTCAAGCATTCTCAAGGAGCTTTTATTGTTTCCCAGAGGATCAGTCTCCTGCCAAATTGAATTTTCTTGAGAA